CTGGCAATTGGAAACCTTAGTCCGTTTCAGATACGGGGAAACGTGTTTTGGGTCCTCTCACGTTTCAGTGCGTTCTAGGATACTATAATAGGTTTAGAAGAATTTACAAAAAAACTTAAACTATTTGACAAAAAGAGAAATACAAATATTAAAAATATACCTGTGACGAGAGACCGGAACGCAAGCAAGGGGAGAAGAAGATAGCGGAAGCATAAGGAGAGGCAGAAAGCAGAAGATTAGACATAACTCACATAAGGCTTAGAGTTAGGTGGAGTCATGGAACCTTACACCCTCAATATATAATACCTATGAAATATCTGGAACTAGATAGGTGAATTGCCAACGGGCAAAGGCTATCAACAAAGATGAACTGACACCATCCTAGAGGTGCTAGAGGGGGTCGCCTCTCACACGCGCAAAAAGCAGCAAAAGAAGAGTTTATATTTATCTTAAGATAGATTTTGGTGCGCGCCTGTTAGCATCTACTGTGCCTGGGAGTCTGGGACTCTTGAATGCGATATGCCCAATGCCCAATGCCCAATGCCCATCACCTAGTGGTGCCTCGCCCCTTAAGCGCACTTTGCCCAATGCCCATCACCTAATGGTGCCTCGCCCCTTAAGCGCACGTTTTAGACCAAGTTGATGAGGAGTAGCACATATTTGACGTTGAGAAAAATGCTCAAAATTGTGGCGGTTTTGGTGATACAACAAGTGTAGATTTAGTGATTCCTACCATAGAGAAGATGAAGCTACCATGATAGATGATCATTTTAACCTGTGTGATTTTATTTGATGTCGTCATTTTAAATTTACCTTTGAGCTTGTTATAGTAAGTGTTTTATTTTATGTCCTCAAATAATGACATTACGTTATTAATTTTTTTTACATTACGTTATTAATATGAATACTAATATAGTAATATTAATATTAATTCAACGAATGAATAGAGTTTTAATTTAGTACGTAATATATATCTACAAACATACATATACATATATATATATAGCTTTATTTGTAGGATCTTATGATTCCCGAGTTATGATCTCCTAGACCCCTTCCGATCCGATCTAGAATCTCAAGTTTAACAACCTTGATTGATGCACATGACATGCAAATTTTCAGTCCATTGTTTCTTTCTGTTAATTTTTGTTTCTTTTTTTATTTGGACATTTTAGTTATTTTATATTTTGAAACTAAAATTATGGCCCACTGGCATAACTAAAAAGGAGTTCACTTAATATAAAAAAATACAAGCACCCGAAACTACAACCTGATCCGATACAAAACACGCGCATATTGAAAAGAAATACGTAATAGTAATGACTATCCATCTTAGAAATTAAAATACAAAGTATAAAAGAAAAGAAGGCTGACTATTAAGAGAGACAGTGATACTTAAGTTTTTGGCTGATGAGCTTCTTGTCATCATCATCATTACCCCAGTGCCGCAAAGGCTCCCACCTACGGTGGGGTAAGGGGGGGTCGGATGTACGTAGTCTTACCCTTGCACTTTAAGCTGAGGAGCTTCTTGTATGGGAAGACAAAAATGGAAGACTGAAAGTTGCAAAAACATGACGGATTTGACATTTAACTGTGACAGGTGTGATTAGGAGAAGAGGAAGGAGATTGAAAGCAGAGATTTAAGAACTTCTACATCTTGTCAAGAAAAATGTGGCGCATAACCTACTCAAGCCTCCAAAGTTATTGATCCTGTTTATAAGAGAAAACTATCAATTAAGCACTTTAACTATCACCATAATAGATAGTAGGCCCTTCTACTAAAGAAACACTGAATTAGACACTCCAACTCATAAAAAAAGCTTTACTTGCGTGTATCCTTTCTCTCTCTCTTTTTATTTTTCTCTTTTTTTTCTTTTCTTTCTTCACTTCCCTAACTCCGCCATGAGATCATTTTTTGTATCATGTTGTCCCAAGCCAAGATAGAGGAGGATAAAGGAGGAGGGTGTTGTGGTAGGCGCGTGACAGACAACAATATCACTTAGGATTTTTTTACTTGGACTGTAATTCCTCGCAGACCAGATCAGACCAGTTCAGACCAGACTTGGATACTTATAAAAATACAAAGAAACCAGACCAGACAAGTTCAGACCAGACCAGCAAATTACAGTCCAAGTAAAAACATCCTTAGTCACATCACATCACATGAGTCAAAATATTATCTCTTTTTCTTTTTTCTTTATCTTTCTATGTTCTTATGTTATTTTATCTTTTATCTTTCTTGAGTTCTTTTATCTTTTTATTTTTTATCTTTCTTATGTTCTTATGTTATTTTATATTATACGGAGTGTTTATCTTTATCTTATCCATTTTATCTTACCTTATCTTATTGTATTTCTTATCTCTCTTCTCTTTTCGGCTCTGATATCATAGATCGATTCATGTTAGTGGACCCCGAAATCTCTTGGGAATAATGCTTGGATTTTGTTGTTGCCTTTCTTCCCTTCCCTCTTCTTTTGTTATCTACTACTCTCTTGTTCCTTCGCCAGGCTGCACCTTTGGTTTTATAATAAAAGCTAATCTTCCATTCAAAGGCAAAGAAAGAAGAGCAAAAGGATAATAGCAGACTCAACCAAGCAACCTCAAAATGCTATTATTGAAGAGCAAAGGAATAATAGCAAAGTAACCCAAGCAAAATAAAAAATCCAAATGCTATTTTTCTAATTTGTGTTAACTACGTATAATATACTGCATATATATGAAGTCTGTATTTTTTAAACCCCTGAAGGCACACTTTTTCCTCTCAGTGAGCACCCACCCATCATCCCTTCTATTCTACAAAGCCTCTTGTTGTGAAAAGCTCTCACACAATACAAAGTTTAATATTTTTTTCGTGTATTTCATTTAATCTTTTTATATTCTTATGTTATTTTTATCTTCTAACTTTTTTATGCTCTTTTATTTATTTTTCTTTTAGCTTGGTTATATTCTTGTGTTATTGTTATCTTATATTTATGTAACTTTATTTTATTCATTTTATCTTACTTTTTTTTCCTTTTCTTGTCCGCCTTCTCTTTTGGGCATCGATATCATAGATCGATTCATGTTAGCCGACCCCATATTCTTTTGGGATTAAGGCTTGGATGTTGTTGTTGTTGTTGTTTGTATTTCATTCATAACTTTTCAATTAGCTCATTTAATAGTATGTGAAACTCATGTTTAGTTAGATTGGTTTTAAATTTCATGTTTATATTTTCAAAAGTGTAACAACTTACGAAAAAAATACCCTTTATTTTATCATTTTACTTTGTGCATTCAATACTGTTTTAACTTTTATGTAATAGGTCTAAATGTCTAATAGTTCTCAAATGCACTTTTTTGGAACTAATATCTAAATTCAAATAAAAGTAAATGCATTCACACTTATACATTTATTTAAAAATGAATAAATAAATAAAAAATTATAGAGTAAAAAATAAAGACAGAGAGATAGATACAACAACATTACCCCAGTGCAGCAAAGGCTACCACCTATGGTGGGGTAGGGGGCGGACGTACACAGCCTTACCCTTGTACCAAAGTGCATAGAGACTATTCCAGATGACCCGTGATTGATTGATAGATACATTGATAGATTAACAAATAGACAAGCAGATTGACAGACAGATTTGACGGATAGACAAATCGAGAGAGAGAGAAATCGATGGATGGACAGGCAGACAGAGAGTGACAGAGAGCGCGACAGAGAGAGAGACAGAGAGTGACAGAGAGCGTGACAGAGAGAGAGGCGTGGACAGATAGACAAAAAGAGATAAATTTAAAAAAAAAATAAGAAAATTCATAAATTCAATGGGAAAATAATATAAATACCCCAAACTTTGAAGGGGTGTGGGATAAATATTTCAAACTTGCATATGTATTATATATACCTTTAACTTTATATAAAAAGTTATTTTCGCACCATGAATATCTGTTTTTTACAAATATAATTCTATTGCAATTAGTACATATTTTAAAATACTCTAAGCTTTATTTGGTGGCAGTTAACATTCTAAAGTTTGGAGTATATATATTACATGTGCAAGTTTGGGGTACTTACCTCACGGCTCACAACCTTTCAAAGTTTGGGATATTTAAATAATTTTCTCCTAAATTTAATACAATAAGGTAACCCAAAGGGCTCTAAATGGCTCCATTTTGTATATAACTATATACATAGTATGACTTATGGAAAAAACTGTTACTAAAACTTGCCCCTACAGGAAGTAAATATATAATCTTCTTCAAACACTGCTGAGGGCATTGCCTGCACAAGATGATAGTGGAAAATCCTCCAACAATATCCAGTATCTATTCATTTTAGTGAATCTAGTCATATACTTCATATTATCAACTTCTAAATTGAATAGAGAAAAGGAAAATATATAGGCTTTGATGAAAAACATGGGCTAGGCTCCTGGATTTGCATAAGGGTTTAACATGATTTGGGATCAGATGATGAGCATGGCCAATAAAACCAATCTACCAAGTTTGGGACCGTGGGGTGGGCGGAGGCAAATGGTCTCTGGTCAAAGCTAGCCAAAGGTTGGCATGCTTCTTCAACGAAATCTTCAGCACGTGTGGGATGTCTTCTCCACCATCTGCTACAAGAATGGGGTATGTGTGTAAGCTTGGCCCACACCACAGTTAGGCACATGCACTTCAAACTTGTTTGTAACTTTGTATCATCTAAAACCTTTCTGTTTTCAGTTTTCACTCTCTACTACAGCCCCAAGCAGCCATGTAATTGTTATTAACTAATCTGACACTAAAGATTCTTGGATCTATGAACTATTACTGGAGAAGGGCAGAAACATACACATTTTTAGTATATATGGGAAGCAGTATCCTAATATATCATAGCTCAAGCTGGTCTAAATTGTTTTATTTGAAGCATATATTCCATTATGCGTTCTTTTTACACACAACACTCGAGGTTGTGAGTTAATTGGATACAAATAATAAGTAATACACAAATAAGAACGAAGAAGGTTGTAACTCACAAATGGAATTTTGGCAGCTTTATCATTCCAGACAGCTAATAGTCCTAGCGTTGCAAAACATCCCAATCCACCGCACAACCAAGCCAATGCTTCATACTGGTTACAACCAAAAGGCACAACTCATAAAAACATCTTAACCTAATTTGGAAATGATAGCAAAATTTAAAGAGCAAGGTAAAACGAGATAGGAAAAACAACACACATCCTTACCTTCCCGACGGTATCAGCAATACGATCAATACAGGGTTCTGGGAATGGAGTCCCATTGTCCCACACAAGCTCATCATTCACTGGGACCTAAAATGAACATTAGGAAGAAGAAGAAATAAAACTAAACCTTTGTGGGAGCTTCATTGTTATGCTCCATGGAAATACAAGTAAATCCACACACACATGTGTCTATTATGTGTAGAAAATAAACTATGAGTGTATTTGTTCGGGGGGTTGAAAATTACTGGTTTATCGGGAACGAGATGCTTGCCGACAGGGAGGCCCATTCCGGAGCGAGTACGAAGGGAATAGGTGACAGATTGCGCGACGCCGCCTCTGCCGCCCATGAGGTCAGCTACAGCTTGACTCAACCTTCTGGCCATTTTACGATTGCAGGAAAACGAAAAATCTGAGGCTACGAGGCTGCTCAATTGTACTCCCTCCCTATCGGAATTTGTCCCAATGGCTTTGCTCAATTGTACTCCATCCCTACAGCTTGACTCAACTTCTTCCTAATGTTTTACAAAGAATATTACTACCTCCTTTCCCATTTTAACTTGAAAATGTGTTTGGCACAAAGTTTAATATAATGGATATTGTGTGATGGAGAGTTGTGCAGAGAAGGAAAGAAATTTGTAAAAAATGTTGTGAACCACAAATTCTTTACCAAAAAGGGAAAGTGGAAGTTTTAATTGGAACGGACGAAAAAGGAAAGTTGGAAGTTTATTTAGGAACGGAGACAGTACTAAAATAAGTCATATTTGAGTGTGTATACCGTGCAACGGGTGCATGGTGAGCATCATGCACCCATTGCATGGGCGGACCATAGTAGAGACCCAGGGTGGCTACCGCCCCCAACAAATTTTTTTTTAGTGTATATATATACGAAAAATAATTTTTGCTCTTCCAAAAAGTATTTTGAACCCCCCAAAAATATTTTCGCCCCCCCAAAATGACTTTCATGGATCCGCCCCTGACCCATTGGATATTATTTTCTCTTTTTTAAAAAATGGTAATAATTTTTTTATTTTTGATCCGATTTTTATAAAATTTATATCAACATTTTTTATTTTTCATGATCTTTCAAATGAGACCAATATTGTCTATGTAATTTTAACATATTAACATTTGCGTGTAAAATATGTAACTTTACGTGTTAAAATATGTAACTCACGTTCAGTTAGGCCAAATGCAACTCGTGTGTATAAATATGTATCTCTACGTGTAACAATATGTAACTTTACGTAAAAAAACATGTAACTCGCGTTCAGACAGGTCAAATGCAACTCGTGTGTATAAATATGTACCTCGCGTGTATAAATATGTAACTTTACGTGTAAAAATATGTAACTTTACGTGTAAATATATGTAAGTCGCGTTCAGGCATGTCAAATGCAACTCGTGTGTATATATATGTAACTCGCTTATAAAAAGATGTAACTCGTTTATAAAAAGATGTAACTTGCTTATAAAAAGATGTAACTCGCTTATAAAAAGATATAACTTGCTTATAAAAAGATGTAACTCGCTCATAAAAAGATGTAACTCAATGTATTATCAAATATAACTGAGGTCACTGATCCACTCTCAAACAGATCCGATCTTCTATTTCACAAACCTATCGTCTTCCAAACATATTCGATTTTCCTTATAATCCAATACTCATTAATATAATAGTTCGATAATTTCTTAAAATTACATAAGCAATATTGGTCTCATTTGAAAGATCATGAAAAATAAAAAATGTTGATATGAATTTTATAAAAATCGGATCAAAAATAAAAAAGTTATTATCATTTTTTAACAACAAAAGTAAAAAAAAAAACAGCATTGCGTCGTTTTGCAACCGGGCGCACCATCCTCATGGTGCGCCGGTTGCACGGTATAATTCGTCATATTTACATAAATATGACTATTCATTACTATAATGTGGTCTTGTGGTATCTTAAGCTCAAAACTTGAACATGAATTACTATGATTTCATTACTACTCTAGTCATTAGTCATATTTTTGTAAATCATCTTTATTTTTGTCATATTTATGTAATTATTTCTTGTTCCATTCTTTCCTTGCAAAGAACTTTTACACAAAAGTAATTTTTATTTGACAAGTTCACAACAATAATACTAACTAGTTAACTGTTTTGCAAAAATAAACTAAGTGCCAATGCCATTAAGTTTTACGTTATTTTTATGGTTAAATTCATCATAACAATAATTCATATTTTTAGAGATTCTACAATAATAATCTATACTTAAAGTTTCCACACAAATAATCCGAACTAGTAATGTGTTCATAAAAATAAATTGGGGTGAAATCAAATTTGTGTCTGTTTATACTATTCACTCTTACTTCCATTTTCTCTTCTTCATTCTTCTTATTGAGACAAATTCAAACTAAACCCCGTTTAATCTCTAACACAATTTTGGTCATATGTGGATCTCTCTAACGTGGAACATAAATATGTTAACTGAGGCGAAGAGTGGTGAACGGGGGATGGTGGTAGGGGTTGGGAGTACTAAATGGACATTTATTCGTGTGGACACTAATGCTAGTATTGATTATTTATATGGATACTCTCAGTAGGGATTATTATTGTAAAATCCATAAAAGTATGAATTATTCTTGTGAATTTCGCCTACTTTTTTTGAACATACTGAAGTGAAAACTTATATAAACATTAACAATATTATATTTGAGTTTAATCTTATTTCTACTAAGAATTTTAATATAATAGTCAATATTTTTCATAAAGCATAATAGAAATATTTGAACATTCCATAATACATAACTTTCAAATTCTCTATCCTCTTTTATTCCTTATCCATATTTTATTTCTATTCATTTTTTAATCATTATAATAGATATATCAGAGTAGTGTTAGTAATACTACATAAAATATTAATACAAATTATGTAGAGTATTGAATATTTAATACGGATATTTCTATTATATTTTATGAAAAATATTAAACATTAAATTAAATTTATCTTAGATAAAGATTAAACTCAATTATAATACTATTGATTTTTATACTTGTTTTTATTTGATATATTCAAGATTAAAAAAATAACGGCAAAGTTAACACTATTAGTACTCGCATTATTTTGTGAAACAATTAACTATAGAGACTATTTTTATGAAATTTAGTAGTAGGTATTATTTTTATAAAATGTTTAAAAGTATGTACTATTGGTGTCAATTTCGTCTTTAAAAAATGTGAAGTAATTATTTTAAATTACATGAAAAGGTAAATAAGACATATAATGTGATACGGAAGGAGTAGTACGTATAAGATTAAAGAGGTGGGCTAAAAGGTGAAATGGGGATGTAATCACTAATCATTCACAAATGCTCAATTACCCCTTCAACTAAAAAATACTTCAATTGACACCCCAAAATCAATTTAATGAAATTCAAATTACACTTCAATTGAAAGATGGAGGCCCATTGCAAAGCCTAGAGCTAACCGCCATTATGCTCTTGATAGTATTTGAGATTTCTTCCCAACCAGAAAGGTTATGCAGAAGTGTGTAAACAATAATCATGACCCACACAAGCATCTACCCAAAGTGAATCACACTTCTATTTACTATGATTACTAGGTGGACAATGGTTACCAATCACCAAAGACTCACTTGATGAGATCGAAATGGTACCGACTCCCCAGACTGCATAACCCTCTAGGACACAACATTGGTTGGGTACCTAATTCTTCCTTTTAATTGTGTAGGAACTATGTGTTGGAGCCCTCTATGATCAATAATGATTTATTGATTGTGGATGCTTCAGACACATTAGAGGTGACAAGAGTTGTCTAATAGAGTTCCAGAAAATCAATAGATAAAAGTTGTCTTTGGTGGACAAGATAAGGAAGGTGGTACAAAAGGAAGAGGAAAGTTAGTCAGAAACCAGATAAGCATTGATGATATCTCATATGTCAAATGATTATATCGATAAGGCACTCAAATGATTTTCTGAAATTTAATGTGTTGTCTAACTGCGCAGTTATCTTCAAAAATTCATTTGACTGTCTTCCCGATTGAAATATTAGCTGAAACTTGGTATGAATAAACTAGACTTAATGAAGAAGATATTTAAAAATTTTCATCAAAAAATTCCGCCGGAAACCGCCCCAAATGACGACGGCCAGACAGAGTCTCCTATAAAAGGGCTTATTTGCACTTTTTATGAAAGTTCGAGGGCTTATTTGACAGTTCTCCCAATCTTCATCCTTCCCCTTCTCGAAACTAGCATCACCCGAGTCCTCCCCTGCACTAATCATATTACAATCAAAACTTGGGAGGAGCTCAAGATCCTTTGGTGACAAATTATCATCCAACAGAAGATCAAAGAAGGCTTCACCAGAAACATGTTAGGAATGCAGTCCTCCACCAAAGAATCAACTACATCCACATTAAAGCACTCACCAGTATCCTGGCATGGTCTCTTCATTATTTTGGACATGTTGAAGGTGGCAGTCTCATCCCCAACGCGGAGGACAAGTTTACTGTCTCCAACATCAATAAGTGCTCGGGCAGTTGCCAAAAATGGTCTGCCCAAAATCAAAGGTACCTCACGATCTTGATCCATGTCCAATATAACGAGGTCAACATGAAAAATAAATTTATCCACTATAACCAACATGTCTTCAGCATTCCCTTGAGGATATTTGACTGATCGGTCAGCTAAATCAGCTAAGGCCCTATAAAAATTAAAATCTCCTATAAAGCAAGAATAGTAAAAGAACCTGGATCCTAAATCTTCTTCGGTAAATCATTCCTAATCATGGCTGAGCACTCCTCGCATCACAGTTGATGCTTCCTCTAGCTTCCTCTTGTTGGTCAACAGATCCTTCATGAACTTAGCGTACTTCGACATTTGTGATAGCGCATCCACGAATAGTAAGTTAATCTGAACTTATTTCATAAGTTTCAGAAAATTATCAAACTGATCGCTATCATTCTTCCTCTTCAATCTCACGGGGAAAGGGAGAGGTGGGCAGTGCTTTAACTGGATCAGGCTGTTCTGAGGCTGTCACCACCTCTCTCTCTACTCTTCTTTCTCCTTTCTTTCTCCTGGACAACTTCTTCAACTTCAACTTCCTCAGGTATCTTCATTGTGGCAGCAGGTTCTAGCTCCCTTTTGCTCCTCAAAGTGACTGCCTAGACGTGCTCTCCTGGGTTATTCTCGGTGTTGCTAGGGAGGGATCCCCTAGGCCTTTCAGATTGGGCCTTTGCGACCCGACCCATTTGATTCTCTAGGTTCTTAAGACTTGCTGCAGTCATTTGCATAAAGTTCTGGAGTATCTCTTCTAAGCTGATGTAGGCTTGCTCTATTCAGGCATCTTGTGTTCCACCTCCTTCCTTTGACTTTGCTGATGAAATTGTTGTGCTTGAGGCGGGGCCTGATGTGCCTGGGGCTGATTGTAGTTCCTATACTGTTGCTGGTTTCCATGCCCGTACTTCCCATATTGCTGTTGATTGTAGGGCTGATTGTGGTAGCCTTGCATCTGAAAATTATTGGCATCAACTTGCCCCACTCCAGGG